GGCGAAAGTAGGCACTGATATGAGATGCCAAAGCGAGGCCATCTCACTGAAGTGACTTCTTATGGGAGTTAATACCAGCACATCATTTTACAGCCCCTCCATGTATATATCCATTGCAAGATTTGACATATATCCAAAAAAAAGTAGTGAGATGTCTGGAGGATGCTGGCGATCAAGGCGCATTGACAAGTAATAGCAAATGACAAGAAAAGCATAAGTACAAATATTGAGTCACTAAAAATTAACGTGTTGTAGCATCCCTGCTGTTATATGAAGAAAGTTCTTCACTGCCAGGTCTTGTGTCAGCAATGGAGTCCTAAGGTCCTCGGTCAGCAGTTTCACTCTAGCATTGTCAATGAAAGCGACGGGATCCAAAGAAACATCTCTGTTTCCTACAAGGTTGGAAATTAAAGTGTGCATCTTTTCTGTCTGGAATACAATCCGTCCTGAAAAAGAATAGGAAGATACAGAGGTACATTTTGTAGATAGATAGATAGATAGATAGATAGATAGATAGATAGATAGGTAGGTAGGTAGGTAGGTAGGTAGGTAGGTAGGTAGGTAGGTAGGTAGGTAGGTAGGTGTCCCCCCCCCCCCCAGCGCACGCGGGGTGGGTGCTTGCCCGAAGGGGTGAGAAATGGAGAAGGGGAGGACAGGGGGGTGTTTTAGGAGTGAACTCCTCGCGTTCTAGTCAGGACAATGATTGTGTCAGAAGGTTAAGGCTATCTCGTTATACCAGGTGGCTGATTAACCCCGCGCACTTCTTTAGTAAGACTGTACCGCACGCACGAGTGCGGGCGGGCTTGCCTGTCGCCCCTGTCCACGGCGCCTTACGGACCGGGCGAGTAGGCAACCCGCCCGCACTCGTGCGTGCGGTACAGTCTAACTAAAGAAGTGCGCGGGGTTAATCAGCCACCTGGTATTGAAGCTACGACATGATACAGTGGTTCCTCTCTACACTCATCTTCCTAGCGCTCCCTCGAGACGACTGACTGCTGGTCTGCCCTGCACCTCTATTTATGCCATCGGGAGCGTCCAGCGTCGAGGGCTGATCTGCTGGGGTTGCATTCCCACGAGCAGAGCATCCGGCCACCGATTCGCACACGATCCTGCGCCAGACGGATGTCATTTGAGCCACCCGCGTTTGGTCATCACCTGCATTGGCAGCGCGGCTAGCGACGGCCAGTGCGGCCGGCGCGGGCAGCGCCGATCAGCGCGGTCAGCGGGGCCAGCGTCCGCCCCGCCAGACCAGACGGTGTCGAATTTAGTCTGGCGCAGGTGTGGGAATATCCCTAATCTACGGGCCCTATGTATC